GGGGGGCGGGAATTTGTCACCATGGGGGTTTACAGTGTCCCCAGCATCCCACCGGGCTGGTGTGTGGAGCGGGGGGTGTCCCATTCCTGCTGCTGCAGTGACTCTCCCCTCCCCAGTGTCTGAGGGAACATTGTCCTGCCCCTCCAATGCTGTCACTGTGCAAGGGCCCCCTGCCCCATGTGCAGAGACACCCCCCCCACCCATATTTGCTTGAGCCTTTGGCAACCCCGGGGCTCTGACAGCGGCAACCCCAGAAGCAACCGGGGGCTGTGGGGGCTGCCCCGTTCCCTGGGACTTGTCACCTACCGACATCAGCTCTCCTCGCCCTCCTGACCTTCAGCGCCAAGAGCTCGTCTTCCAGCCGCTGGTTCTCCAGCTCCACGGCCAGCAGTGCTGCGTCCAGGCCCTGAGCACCTGCGCTGGGGGGCTCTGCTGGTACAGCCGGGGTGGGGGGGGGGGGGGGGGCAATTGTTGGCTGTGGAGCCAGGGTCCCAGCTGGGGGATGGGCCAGGGTTTGGGCTTACCTGTTCTCCTGCCCCTGTGCAGCTCCGTGGTTCCTTTCTCCAGCGCCGTGGCCTCCGCCTGGAGGTGGAGGAGCTGGGCCAGGATGGCCGGGTTGTGCCCTCCGGCGCGCAGGTAGGACAGTCGCAGTGCCCTGCCACAGCCCCGGCGTCAGCCATCGCTGGGGCTCAGCGGGACGCCCGGCTCGGCTGCGCCGTCGCCCACGGACCCTCACCTGGCCTCGGCGGCGAGCGGCCCCATGGCTGGCAGGTGGGTGTCGAGGCGGAGAGCCGCCCTGGGGAGGAAACAGGGAAATGGGGAGGGGGCTGAGGGCCCCTTGATCGAGAGCACCCCACTCCCTGGGCGGTGCAGAGCCCTCTCTCCCTGGCCGGGGCTCACCCTCCACGTGCCAGCTGTCCGACATGATCCTGCAGCACCTCCGGGACCCGGCTCAGCTCCAGTTCCTCCCGCTCAGGGTGGGGGGTTGCAGCCGCCCTGGTCCCCAGTGCCGCCAACCGCCGGCACAGCCCTGCGGGATGGTGAGAGGCTGTGGGGAGGGGGCTCAGCACAGCCCCCCACAGCCCCGCTCCTGGGGCTACTGCATCACACAGGTGCCCCCCCCATCACCCCAAAACCCATGCCAGCGCCTACCCTCTCTCTGCTGCTCCAGCTGCTGGGTCCTGGCCCGGATTTCAGCCACATGGCGTTTGTGGGCCTCCAGCAGCTCCTGTGGCTGCTGCCCGTGTCCCCGCGGTGGGGCCGGCCGCCGGCCGGGCTCTCCCTGCAGCACAGGGGCTTGCAACAGGCAGGAGGGGCTGGACCCCACCAGCCATGGGACTTGGGGGATAAGGACCCCCTTGGGGTGTCGATGCCCGTCCCAGGGGTATGGGGTTTGCCGTACCTCTGCCGTCAGCCTCCTGGAAGCGGGGTCGGCCGTGCGGAGCAGGGCCCTCTCGCGGGGGGTGAGCACGTCCCCCAGGGGAGCCCCCCGCGCTCGCCCCGGCCCCTGCTGTCCCCCCACGGCTGGCAGGAGCCCGGGAAGCACGAGGAGACAGCGTGGCTCAGCGCGGTGCCCATGCTGGGACACCCCGACCTCGCAGAGGCAAATGGGAAGGGGGAAAAAATGCTTAGCGGTACAGACTTTTCTGGCTTTGGCAAAACAGGCATGGAGGGCTGCCTGTGTGGTGCAGTGGGGGAGGACGGAGGGTCTCCCTGGTTCAGGCTGGGTCGGGTCCAGCTGCGGTGGATCACCCTCGTTTCCTCACCCTCGGCACATCCCAGCCCAGCACCCATCCCCGTCCCCGTCCCTGCTGACCGTCCCATCCCCGCACGCCCTGCGCCAGACCCGGCTCCACGCTACCGAGGCGTCCCGCGGCCTCCCCGCCGTGCCCGCAGCCTCCCCCGCAGGCGGTGGGTCTCCCCTGGGGAGGCAGGAGCTGCCGGTCGTCGGGCTCCCGAGGCACAGCTTCTCCTCGTGTGCCCGTAGCAGCGGCTGGGAGCGGAAAGCCATGCGGCAGCGGGGGCAGGCGAATCCCCCCGCGCCCAGCATGGGGCACCCTGGAAGCACAGTGGGGTGGGAGTCACCTGGGGGTGCCACCCTGAGGGGGGAGAGGGGTCCTTCTACAGGGGCGAGCCGGGACCCGTGGACAGACCTGCTCGGCGGCGGCGGCGGCGGCTGCGGTGTTTGAAGCCACCGTTGCTACGCTGGGACGGGCGAGGGAGGGCGGCCGCACCCCTGACCCTGGCCGTTCCCACTGTTTACCACGGGCACTGGAAAGGGGGAGAAAAATGTCACTTGGCCCCCTGAGCGATCCACAGAAAACAAGACGGGGGAGGCCTCGCCAGCAGCGATGCACAGCTTGAGGCTTCCCCCTCCGCTGCCACACTCCCCCATTCCTGGTTACAAAGCGCTCGCTGCCGGCCGTGCCCGGCCCCTGGTGCCCCTTTTTCTCTTTGCAGCAGCTCCCAACCCCGCACCGCCATCTTCAAGCAGATGAACAACCTCCGCACCACGGTGAAACGGCTCCTTCTACCCACTGCCCCCTTTTCCCTGCCACAGGCATCCGGCACCCTCCCCTTGTTCCCAGAATAATCTCCCCTCCTTTGATCTTTGCCCCCATCTCTGCTTGCTGAGCATCCGCAGGCTCTTCTGGGGGGGCTGTAGGTCACCCTCCCCCTGCACCGCCAGCAGTACCAGTCACAGGTAATCAGTGATCTGCTCAGGAAAAAGCCACCGTTTGATTTATGGGGATTTGCTCCATTAGGTTCTCTCCGGCAGCAGCCTGCAACGCCTTAGAAGTTTCATCAATGTTTAAACCATGCACATCCCATCAGAGGGTCGGGGCACAGAAGCTGAAGGAAAAGTTTGGCACGAAACACAAAGAGCTCTTGCTGCACACACATCACGCTTTGCTGTCCCCCCCATCAGGCAGGTCCCTTGCTCCAGACAGGAATTGTTTAGCAATCCAGTTTGCTCATTACAAGTGGCTATCAGCACAGATTTGATGTGAAGGACTTTTTTAGTCTTACCCCATTTCTTGACAACAATGCAAATACATTTGCATAATTTTTCACTTACAGGAGCCCAAGCACTTCCCTGAGAATTCCCAGGT